TAAATTTTTATTTCTTAACCGGATATTTTTAATCAATTCTTATTGCTTTTGTTTACGAGTATCAACTTAGACGGTCTTTAGATGCTGAAAATGGATAGTAAACCCTAAATTGAAAATTAAATATATATATATCTTAATGAAAGAATATCTAATAATTACACTTTTCTTTGCCAAGTTTTAAAATTTTAGGCCTTTTTTGTGGTTTGGAACATTGGGGGTGTGATTTGTAATTTTTAAAACATTGGGAGTATTTTAAAAAAATACTTTTAAGTTTAGTAGTTGTAACTTCTATGTTTCATGTGTCGGTGGTAATTTTTAAATGTCACGATATTTCTTACAACTCTAAAATTTTGAGGTTGTTTTTTACAATTATTAAAACTATAGATTAATTTTTTAAAAATTCAAATTTTAGCGGTCTACCAATAGTTTTCAGATTTGATGTGTACTGGTTATAAATTTTAAAAATTTAGAGTTTTTTTAAATAATTTTTAAACTTTGAAAGAGTTTTTTTATAACTTTTATAACTTTGAGGTTAATTTCGGTAAATTTTAAAATTTTAGGTGCATGAGGGTAATCTCTTGAACTCAATTTTTGTTGTTTACAAATTTTAAAATTTTTATAATTTTAGGGTTCTTTTTTTATAATTTAAACTTTTGAGAGAGTTTCTATAATTTTTAGGACATTGAGGGTGTTAATTGAAAATTTTAAATTCTTCGAAAGCTGCTGTTAATTTTTTAATTTCATGTTTGTTATTTTAAGCTTTGAAATATCATAAATTTTTAGGTGCATTATGGTAATCCCTTGAATTCATCTATGTTGTTTGTAAGTCTTGAAATTTTAGAATTTTAGGTGCTTGTTTGTAATTTAAACTTTTGATGGTGTTTCTATAATTTTTGAGATAATGAGATGTTATCCGTAAATTTTAAATTCTTCGTTGTTAATTTTTTGATTTCATGTTTGTTGTTTTAAGTTTTTAGATGTTGGGATAGTTTTTATAATTTTAAACTTTTTAGGGTATTTTATGTAATTTTAAAATTTTAGATTTTTTTTTTGCAATATCTTATGTATTATAGTACGTTAGCTACGTATAATTTCTTTATCTTTACAAATTAATACCATAAAACGATGTTTTAAATATTTTACTAATATAATTTTTTAAACAGTTAAGCTATAGATAGTTCACGTAAGATTAGGATAGGATATAATTATGATCACATATAATTTCTTTATTTTTACAAACTAATACCATAAAAATATGTTTTACATATTTTATTAATATAATTTTTAAAATTGTTAAGCTATTGATAGTTCACGTAGGATTAAGATAGGGTATAATTATGATTAGGATAGATTAAGATATAAATGAAATATTTAAAATAGTGAAGGGTAATATTGATCATAGAGAGATTTTCCCGTGCTTTTAAAGGGAGTAAGATATTACGGACACCTACAAGCAGACTATCAAGTACACCATGGAGAATAAGAAAGAACACATAAATAGTTTTGTTTAGTAAAGATGGGGAACTTATGATTTGTTAGCATTTTTTTGAGGGGTAAATTTCACAAAAACACCCATGAAATTTGAGAGGCTTTTACGCAAAACCTAAACGAACTTTTAAAGTTATATTAAAACTTCATAAACTATTGGAATTTGGAAAATCTCTCGGATGATGTTAAACTATATACAAAGTAAAAGGTCTAAGAATATAAAAGGTAAGAATATGATATGATTGTTGTATTTCGTTCCCCCACTGGAGTACTCTCTATTCAATATTTTCATCGCAAATTTCATATTTCTTTCGTAATTCAAACTCATGACTCTACTTGTTAATGTTGTTTATGACATTTTTCGATAATTCACGGGACTTTAGCTTAATTTTTTAGAGTTCAGACTGCTTTTTATTTATAGAGTTCAAGGAAGTTTTTTTTCCCCTTGGTTAATGCCTTCAAAGTTCAGGGAGGGGCATGTGAAATTTACCCCTTTTTATTTGTGAATTTTGGACTAGTAGAGTGATGAGCTTAGATCATTCTTCATCTCATACCTCTTTACTGTTTGATGTTGGACTCCTTGGTATTAAAAGCAATTTAAAATTCTATTTTTAATACATTTTTGGGGACAATTTGGTTGAATATGCCAAAGGGGACAATGTTTATTCCTTTATAATATACTCACTAGTTTGATTCTCACATGGATGACGACTACAATATAAATTTGCAAGCCTTGCCGTTCTTTTGATTGATCTCTTATCAACATGTAAATAAGAAAAAAAATTCTTTTTATTTGAAATCAAAAGGATATTTCATGGTTGCCTTTATTTCAAAAGAAAAAAAGTAAAGATATTCCATATCATACAAGATAACTGAGAGATAAATTTTTTCTCTAACCATTTTCCATTTAGGAGGTGTTTGTTTCAAATTCTATAATTTTAGGATATTGATTTCACCATGGGATTTGAAATCCATAGGTTTTTTTAACATGGGTTTGAGATTTCTAAAATGTTGTTTGTTTCATCAATATTTTGGAATATGTAATCCTATAATTTGTATTTTGATTGTTTCAAACTCAAGTTGTAGCTTTATAAATTTTAGAATTTGAATACTTGCCTAAATCCTCTTTCAAAGAGGGGATTTCACAAATACTATAATATATTAGTTTTTTATTATTTGGGTTTTCAATATCCCAAAATTTATTTTGAATCAAACAAAGGTTATGAAATCCATAAACTCAAAAAAACCACTTTTTCATCATAGAACTTATAATCCACATTGTATCCCAAAAAAAAAGTTGAAACAAACACCCCCTAAATGGTCGATCATAAGTTGTGGTAAGAGAGTATCACGAAAAAAGTGGACTTCGAGATTTTTTTTTAATTTAGATAAAATATAATACAACTGTCCCCATAAGTCATAATAGCGTGTCTCTACGATTTTATTTAAAAATTGAGTGTGCTTATAAAAAATGATAAATTTTATTAGTAGATTACATCAACTACATTCAAAGTCAAGTTGCTCTAAAAATAGAAATAGAAATAGATGAAACAGTGGCAAATTTTATTCCCATAACCGTGACGTTAACTTCACCTCCATCAACGTGGATCCCACTCCACGCCGTCAACAAAAGATTTATAAAACATCTTTTGCATGTCCACACAATAAAGAAGTGCTATTTGCATCTTAGTGTGAAGAAGAGAAATTACTTCAAAGCTCAGTAGTATATATAATCTCTCATAATCGCGCTGTATAATATTTGAGAAAGTACTCAACCTACTAATCTTTTACAAGTACTGAACGCACCATAAAAAATTAAAAAAAAAGTTCATTTATGAACAACATTTCATGAAAGAAAATGATACAGACATATCCTCAGTCACACTCCCTCTTTTGCTACAGTACACCGGGCATCACATGAGATTTTTTAAAAAAATCTCATGTGGGGCTTAGTGCACTGCAGTAAGAGAGGGAGTATGACTTAGGGTGTGTCTGTAATGACTCTCTCTTTTATGAATGAGTCTAAAAACAATTCAAAACGTTGAAAGTTGATTCTGCTCTTTCTCCAAATATAAGTGCAAAATCCCCCTAAGAGTTTGAACCCACCTACCACCATGAAGCACCAAACGAGTAAGTTCATAAATGCTGTTTTTATCCGTTCTCTCTCTCCTTCATTATTTCAAGCTGACATGAAATCAAGCAAAGTTGCTCATAAGTAGAAGCTGTCATCTCACTCTCTGCTACTAAAAACAAATGAACAATCAATTGTGACCCAGCTTTGGAACTAGTCCATGCAAAATTAAGTTGTTCACCAATCAGATTTCCTTTATTGATCAAATTTACCTTTTCCCTTTTTTTCCTGCTATGGGCAGAGATAATTGATGGCTTGGTAAATATTTTTTTTTTCACCAACTTCTATTGACAATGAAATTCTTCCATGGGCACCATCCAATGGAATCCCTGAACCAATCAGGGAAAGGAAAGGTGAACGGGGAGCTATTTTCCCCCTTCCCTTTCATGTTTATGCTCTTTTGCATGGAGAGTGCAATGTTTTTATGAAATTATTATTACATTTTTTTTGTATGGCATCTAGCCTAGAATCGAATCTAAGACCGTGGGAGCCATATTGGAACCATCTAACTATCCGGGTCACATGTGGTGGGTAAATCATTATTACATTTAAGTGAGCATACTAAAGTTTTTTTCCCCATAGAAATCATATTTAAAATGGGATCGTTTTATAAAAACCAGCTCTGATTGTCAATTTAAACATAAATAACCTTTAAAAGATTTCTTGTTGCAATCAATCACCTGACTTCGCTTTTCAATTAAATTTTTCTCAGTAATTGATCTCATCTAACCTCCATTAAGTACCACCTCTCCAATATACTTAGTATTTGTTAACTAATAATTACCCAAAAATTCATTTAAAAGTAAATACATCTAGTTGATTGCACCAAAATAAATAAATAAGAAATAAAAATAAAGCTCTTTAAAGGCGGTTTATGTATAAATTGATAATCAAAATTGGTTTCGGATGATCCTATTTTAAAGTTGGTTTCTAAGGGAAAAGCCTATAATAAAGGATAATAAACGACATGAGTGATTGAATGTTTAAAGTTACAATACATGCTAGCCGATAAATAATTATTATAAAAATATAAAGAAGTTAGAGGAGGAAAACTTTATATTTCTTTATATACAGTTTGGATAAACTATAAGATGTTTTTTTTAATAACTATAAATAAATGGATTGATGGAGAGAAAGAAACTTTTTAAGCCATTAAAATTAAAATATGAAGAAGGCAAGTAAACAAAGATTAAAAGGAAACCATTATGCTCAGATATGAAGGAAGCCCACGTTCGTTATCTACATTAATGGGCCGCCTTTAAATGCACTCATCATGTTTGCTGCTGGGAGAACATTAAAAATTTATTCATCCGAATTGAGATCATCAGCAGTGGTGATCGATCCACGTATATATACGGAAACTGGAGAAGAATACAGCACAAATCAAAATGTGCCGAGGGATTCAAACCCCAAATCCCATCATCACCTATGAAGTATATAAATCATGACATGAAACTGTAAGTCACCTTCCTCTATAAAAAGAATTGGAGATTGTTGAAACAATCAGATGCCCTCCATAATACAAAATGGAAAAACTACATCTCAAGGGGATACGCAGATAGCCTATATCTCAAATTTACTCTGCGGCAAAAGGCTCAATACAGGCCCAAAAACTTCCACCAGAAGGCCCCGACAACTCCCCAGATCAACGCGTTAAGCATAGCAGTTAAAAAGCCCAGCTTGAATACATCAGGAAGATCTACATAACCGGCTGGAACAAAGAAAGGAAAAAAATTGTTATATAACTAAATTTGATTACATAGGTGAGCAAAGAAAAGTTCAGGGTGAAATTATATTTCTCAAACTACTACGCCTGGGTTGGTCATGATAAAGAAGGCTTAATTGCGCACTTGTATGGGAATGTGTCATTAGAAGTTTCGTTTATTATGTGATATCTGTTGACAAATATTTCATATTTGAGGGTTACCTTGGCCTAAATGACAAAGGAAGAGAGTTAGGATAAGTTAGAATAAATTCACGATGATTGATGGCCTATAGTGTGGGTACTGTTTTGAATGAAATAAATTCAAAAGCTTGTAATTGCTAATCAAAGTACGTGCACATTTTACTTGATTCATTCATTAATTGGAAGATCCCTGTTAACAGTAAAGCGTAAGCCTGTATGCCTATTATGTGTATAGGTGTTTTCTCGTGGTTTTACTGTCGCTTTTGTTGCTGCAGTGACTCCTTTAAAAGATTAGTTTTGGTGACGCAGGAGTCTCAACACAAGTTGTTGCTCCATCTCCGGTTAACTAAAATCATGATGGCTTTTGTTCTTAGGATAGGGCTTCTCAATCAGCTATCATTTTTGTAGAATGATATTGGTTCTTTTTGTTATGTAGTTGTGGTTGGCTTTAGATGGGTTCCTGTACTGGTTCAGTTCTGGTATTTTGCAAACTTACTATTACACATACGTATGTATATAATATACATGTATGTATGTCGATGTGCTCACGTACTTGTCTACATATTATTCTATGACTGAAGGTGATGTTTCCATCCTATTTTCTCAGACGGAATAAGAAAAGGTCACTGTATGTGTAGAACAAAAGGTAGAACACCTTTGTTCTACATATAACACAAATTTGAAGTATACATTGACAGGGGAGGCTGTTAAGTCACATAAATCAAGGCAAGACTAGGATTTATGTGCTGTAAGATAGCATAGGTATTGGCTCATCTATCAGACTATCGATTAGTCCACGGACTTGGGCAGCAAAACAGATATCCCATTCCTAAACTGATAAATGTGCTGGACCTTAAGAAAGGACAAAAAAGATACCAGCCAGAAGTCCCAAAGTGTCGAGATAAACCTTTGTCTTCAACTGATTGCTTTCTGATTTATTTTCCAATATACTAAAAGTCTTGCTTTCTTATAAAAAGATAAAAGTATTTCTTGGCAATTTAACCCAATATATATGCACTATGCATGCAGTAACTAAAAGAAAATGAGAACAGGTGACTTGATTACAAGGAAGAGGAAAAAAGGTTTACCTCCATAGTATACAGCAGCCTGGCCACTGCTATAATGTGTTATTGCACCAAAGAGATTAGTGTTGTATGCCAAGGCTAGTGCTGCCAATACACCGGGTACACCTGCTGCTAAGTGCATGGCTAGAAATGCTGAGTACAAGGCTCCTACATGCCCAGTCTGACTAGCAAATAAATAGTGTATGAAGAAGTAGGATGCTTGAAGAACACCAAATGCTGCTGGCCAACTCAAAGAAAAAGACTGAAGAAACTTAGCCACACATCCTGACATCCATGTAACTATTCCAAGATTTGTAAGCTGACTGGCCATTCCAACTAGAACTGCAAACCAAGCCAAGGTATCCCATGCAGACTTCTCACTTAAGCAATCATCCCAATCCAGGACTCCGAGGAGCAGAAGGATAGATAAACCAAGCATTGCTGCAACAACACTTGCTATACCAAGAGCCTCCCTGTGCACAAAGAAAGTAACTGTTAAAGTGTACCTCCATCTGATAAAGGAGAAAATACAGGACAAAAGGGCACAATAATGAGGGTGCTTTTCACATTCCCTTTCAGAATTAGGATAGGGATTTCACTTACAGTGTAGAAATATCAATAATGTAACCAGAGTATATTTCACGTTTCAGATAATTAATTACATTTCGGTAATTGATAAAAAAGCAAAATCTTTCTACCTAATAGCAGATAACCAGCAGTCCAGAGTTATCTCAGATAAATTATGCCCAAAACCATGTGAAATGCAATAATGGAACCACAATCAAGAATTATTCAGTCTTTGAAAAATATCCCATAAGAAAGATACCTCATTACTGAAATCATCACTTCACCATGACCATCAAGACCTTTTCACATTATAATAGTTAGGACATGGCGCGTGGGAGGAGGCTCTATGCAACTGTCAACTTGACATCACCCTCTATGAGTTGGTGATACAGCAAACCTAAGGAACTGAATGAGGCACAGCATGTCATAGAGCATAGACCACTTAGAATCCAGCCTTTCTCTTGCCAAGCAGTTCAAATCCTTGTATCAAGGAGTAAGAGACTAAAGTCCCCAACACAAGAAAGTGTATTGATGCAAGAATATACAAGTCTAAAAAAAGCTCTTTGTAGGCCGTCTAAAAATCACAATAGATGGTTGATCCCCCATCAAACACCGATGATGGAAGTTACAATCTGACGACTTCCAGAAGGCTACAATTTGAAGACTTTCACGTAGAAGGTTACAATCTGACGACCTTCACAACAACTAATGAAGGCCCCAATTCAACAGCCTTCACAATCAACATCGGGAGCTACAATCTGACGACTCTCATATTTTCAAGGAGCCAAGGCGAAGATTACAAGAGGACGATCTGTGCAAAGCTCTAGCAAAAGAGACTACAAATTGACGGTCTTTTCATATTAGAACGCAGATATCTCTCAAACCGTAAGGAATTTGGCAAAACGGAGGAAGCGAACCGAAGCCTTAGGCTTGGTTCGGATGGCCCCGTCTCGTCGAGATAGCCGATTTTTATATGTAATTCGTCCAATTCCGACTTACGGTTTGAAAGTTATGACCTGTTCTTCGCAGCAAGTTATGTTCTGAAGTCCGTCTGCAAGACCGGACTTCGTCAGAACATTGGACTCAGCCTGAAGCTCGCCAAGCCCGCCTAAGATTCGCCTCTGCATTACAGAGTCAAAACGCACAGGTGGAACCAGCGTTATAACCTCAAAACGCAGAGGTTATCCTTGTGATATAACATCAAAACGCAGAGTTACGGCCCAACTCTGCGTTTTCAACCTAAAACGCAGAGTTCACCTCTAAAACGGCCCAACGGTGCGTTTTCAGCCTTTAAACAGGCTCAACTCTGCGTTTTCAGCCTAAAACGCAGAGTTCACCTCTAAAACGGCCCAACGGTGCGTTTTCAGCCTTTAAACAGGCTCAACTCTGCGTTTTTAGCCTAAAACGCAGAGTTCATCTCTAAAACAGCACGATCTGTGCGTTTTCAGCCTTTAAATAGGCTCAACTCTGCGTTTTCAGCCTAAAACGCAGAGTTCATCTCTAAAACAGCACGATCTGTGCGTTTTCAGCCTTTAAACAGGCCCAACTCTGCGTTTTCAGCCTAAAACGCAGAGTTCATCTCTAAAATAGCACGACCTGTGCGTTTTCAGCCTTTAAACAGGCCCAACTGTGCGTTTTCAGGCCTAACTCTGCGTTTCAGGTCCAGAAACGTACAGTTCGGGCCCAGAACGCTGTTTTCAGCGTTTTGACTCGTTCAAAGCACTAACAGAACGGTTTCAAAACCGTTTTCCCCACGATTTAGGGAACTGTTTAAGAGGGGGCGGTTACACCCCCACTCAATCCATTTTGAGGAGCAGATTAAGGGGATAGTTACCACCCGTAATCCCCTATAAATAGTGGGAAACTCAACTGAGTTCGTCTCTCTTGGATCTTTCTTTTTTGGGGCAACAAAGAAGAGATCTTCGGCTGACCTTTTGGGGGAATTCTGGGAGCTTTCGGCTGCAACAAAATCCTTGGAGCATTCCCTTGGCTTATAACCGACTTTCGGTTCAAATCAACTCTTTTTCAAGACAAAATCCTTGGAGCATTCCCTTGGCTTATAACCGACTTTCGGTTCAAATCAACTCTTTTTCAAGAGTTCAAACTCGTTCAGAGTTATCAACTCGATCAGAGTTCAAAACTTGCTCTGCAAGTTCTTCTAAAACTCGTTCAGAGTTATCAACTCGTTAAGAGTTATATTCAAACTTGCCACGCAAGTTCTCCACAGCGTCAAATCGTGAGGAGAAAATCACGTTCCAGTGAATCAAGACGTTCGGATCGTCAACGAGAAGCAAACTCGACGCGAGCATTCGAGGGAGGCATCTCATCGCCACCGTGAAGAACCCAGAATTAAACAAAGGGGAGAATCAAATTCATTCTCCTCTCTTTTGTAATCGGAATCCAAATTGTAATTGATTTTGAGAGGAATACAAGTCAATTTTTCTTTCATTGTCTTTTTACTTCAAATTTCCAACAAACACTCTTACATCAATCCGGAGGTGCTATCATCACAATTAAAGCCTCCGAGTTACCATAGTTGTCATTCTACAGTCATACAACATGACCAGGCACTTGACCCGTGCTCTATAAGCAGAAAAGTTACAGGATGAAGTAAATAGTTTACACCCAGTTCTTAAGGTTGATGGGTCACAAAATAAGAGTCTATATTCAGGGACTGGGGAAAGAACAGACATAAAAAGACATCTATGATCTATCATGATCTTGACAGGAGTCGCATTTTGAATACTAGAGAAACTTGAAACCTCTAGTATAATGATAGCACCAAAATGAATAAGGAAAACTAATACACAACTCAAGCCCTGATAGGCCAACTTTTGAGAGAACAAACATGTAAATGAACATGTGCATGGTGTTCATGTCTAACTGTCTTTACGTATATGTTTGACCCACTCCTATTGTAGCTAGTTAGCTACACATAAATTCACCGCAATATTACTTCCTACACATACATATGCAAACATTGATTCTTTGAGAACACTGTGACTGAACCTCCAGTACAATGATACACAAAAAATGAAATAGGAAGGCCACATATAGATCTAAGCAACTGAGGAAACACATGACACAAGATCAATCAGGTTAATAATGATTTAAAGTCAATATAACTTGAACCTCCTCCAGTTGATGAATTCAAAACCAAAAATCAGAGGTATATATAAATTACGACTAGATTGAACAACATTTATGTGGCATGTGTGAATACCTCAAGTCTCTATAAACTGACGACTGGTATGTTCAAGGGGATATATTGCAGGGAACACACTTCTAGAATGTCGTATACATCTCAGACTTATCTCAAGGACTTATCCCATTAAAAGCAAATGGATATTCAATTATTCCGAAATTAAAAAAAAAGTCTACATAGAGAATAAAAATCGACACAAATAGAACCGAAAAAATCAGCAAAGCATAGGTGTTAGACTGGAAAAGAAGAAAATGGAGTAAATGAGACGCTTATGAATTCCAAGGTCAACTAGTATAGTACTTGGCCTAAGCACAGTTTGTTGACATCAATTTTGTCCAGTGTACTATACATAAATTTGTCTCAAGAATTTGTATTAATTACCAATCTCATGGTAAGAACAGTTGAAATCTTATGGGGAAGGTCTTATAGTGAAACTCTGATAAATAATGGGAAAAATTGCATATCAGGACAGAAACATTGCTACAGTGAAAATTCCGACAAATGGTCCAGGCATTTAAAGAATCGTTATCTTTTAGTTGGTGAAAATAAATAACATGATAATAGAAAACAGGAAGAAAAATATGCAAAGCAGGATTTGCAATAGAATTTTCTAAAATGACCATGACAGAGTGGAGTAGCATGATTTATATTTGTCCCCAAGCTTAAAACCTTACGAACTAGTTTAAGAAAGTGTGTTGATGGTTTTTCCAGTTCTCAATCCTCACACAAGAGTGAAGATAATTAGTACTTCAACTTTCAACAATAATTTAACCATAAAAAGTGTAATTTAACAGATTTTTATGATACATGTCTCTTATTATTTAGCTCAATTGGATCAGTTTCCATATTAGTTCAACGAACTTGTGATCTGAAGCAAGTCCCCGCAATATGGTGACCATTTTCTAGAAGTCTCATTTGTTTGAGCCTTGCAGATGAGTGACCAGAAAATGAAAGATACTAGGTGGAACCAATGGTGGCATACTTTTATCTGGATCAAGCTTCAGGGGACTATGATCAAATTGAGATCATCGTCAAGGACGTATATCCTAAAAGTCATAAAATTAATTTGAGAACAATATGATGATCAACAGATATTAATGTTAGCATCAGTCATCGAGCTGTGAAAAATTTCACCTTTTTCTTGCCGATACGTTTAGACAACCAAACTGGAATATGCAGACATATTAGCCATATGTCTAGAGTACTCTGACTATCACAAAATACTTACCCAAAGACCCACAAGGAAACTGCAAGAAGCATGGTACCAACCATCACCCATTCATTCCTTGTCACAGGTCCCATTTGCTCGAGCTTTTTTGCAGCCAAAGCAGGAGCATCTGGTGTATCTTTTGTTTCTGGTGGAAAGATCTTGTATAGAAGATATGGAGTGACTAGAAGTGCAATGATGGCAGGTAAACTTGCAGCCTTAAACCAGGATACCCATGGACTTGCAATCTTAACACCAAGTTCCTCAGCTAATTTAAGGCACAGGAGGTTTTGAGCTGCAGCAGTTAGGAAAAGAGCACTTGAGTTACCAGCTGACTGCCATGCATCAGAAAGAAAGAAAGAAAACAATGTCATTAAACTTATGAAAGGCTAGAATAGAGCCGAGAAAAGTTACAAAACTATAACAAAAACATAAATTTTTCTACCTATACCAACTGATGAGGGTAATTACCATATAGAGCCTCTCCACAGAGCATAGTAGATTGTAACAAATAAAAAATCAGCAAGAGACTCCTGGAAATATCAGCCAGTCACCATGCGCAATTATAAAAAATTGTGACACCGAACAAGTATGGACTGAGAATACACCTTAAAAGAAAGTTTTTGAAGGAAATTTTTGAATAGGTAACATAATTTAGCATAATTTTACAGTGAATAGTTCACATGCTGTCTATTACTAGGGCAAGATAAATAGTTCACATAATTTTGCAGTAAAGGAAGTTTTTGAAGCACACCTTCATCAGTAGATTATAGGCTTAAGATCAACTGCAAACCCAAGCCAAGTAACATTATATATGGAATGGAAATGGATGAACAATGTTGTCGATCATTATAAGCCAAAATAATTCAGGATAAGTTTAACATGTCTACTTGCATCTTTTGTACACCTTATTTCTACTTCATATGTCAATAAAGAAACATAAGCTTTGTTCAAGCATGAGAGAAGGCCAGTTGAGGTTCTTCTGATCAGCAATAATGCCAACTTAGTGAGCTCCTATCTAGTGATCAATCCTATCCTCTTTAGTCTTTTCCTTTTTGTTCTCCATCTGATCTCTTGATTACTGGTTTACAGTACAATTCATGCCCATAGAATTTGAGTCCTTACATTGTATAACTAATGTTTGCTAATATGCAGCTGATAAAAATCCTAGATGATTTTCTTATCGAGCCACTCTTATTTCTACTTTCAATTACAATACTTTTTTACCCCTTGATTTAACCCACAACAATTCAACATAAGAGTGACAAGCAGCTCCAAGAATCAAAATTACCAACTATTAGCACAATGGTTATTAGCCAGACCTATAAGATGATGAGAAAAAAATCCTATTATCAAATCGAAATAAAGTAAAAATATACCAAGTAGTAAACTAACAAGTATTTCACCAAAAATATATCTTTCCCCATGAAATATAATTTTGTGTATCAATCGACAATCGTCAATTCATATTCCACAACTATAAAAACTTTATTTCTAGTAACCATAAATGCATAAGACATTAGAATATTTCTAAAACAATATACAAACTTAAAGAGCAAAACTGACTAAAGGGTGTCCCTAGAGTAGTAGAATCATTTGAAAGAAAATGTCTTCCTATGTTTCAAACATCCAACTAGTGATCTATAACCCATACAAACTTAACATTTCTAAAAACGATAGCCACACCTGAAATTGAAGGAAAGTCACATATAAACAAAATCAGAATTTGTAACATCAAATACAAAATAAAGCATAGGCTTAGCACAAAAAGAAAATCACCTCAGACAAAATTGTTTTAAATGTTTTGGTCATTCAACTAGCATATGTTAAAACCCGCCAAAATGAACTAAAGTAACTAAACAAGCACATAATTCACACAGAACATAAAAAACTTCAAGTTCTAGCAATAAATTTATCTTTATAGAGGTCAAAAAAAAAAATTTTCCCTCAATGCAACCAGCAGATCATAAGAACATGCAGCTCATTTCCACCACCACCAACAACAACAAGTATAACCAAGCCTTTATCCCAAATGTTTGGGGTCGGTTACATGAATTCTATTTTTCCATTCCATAAGAATATGCAGCTCATTTCCAAAGGAAAATAAAATCATTTGCCATCCAAATTTCCTTCTTTGTGTGCTGTAACATATCAGAGCCCCATCAAAATTAAATCTTTTTCTCAGTAATTGGTAACAGAACATAATCCTCTCACTTAAAATCAAATGCAATAAGCTTTTCAAAATTTAAAAAAAAATCCAACAGAGTTAGGTACTAAATAAATTTTATAATCTATACTACTATATAAAAAACCAAGTGGGGGTAATCCAAAATTTGGATGAGTGGACATATTCTCATTTTCGACAGTACTTGGAAGGGCAAAAATTTAATTTAATAAGAGGCTTCTTTCTTGTTTTCCATTCTCTCTCTTTTGTTTTCTAGAATATTCTATATATAGATATAAAACATTTTGTCTTTCTTATCTTTCTCTTCTTTTGGTTTTCGAGAATGTTCTATATCATACTCCATGAACATATGATATGAGCCCATATAGTTACATATCCATTATATTTAAGATTTAAAAGGTATATAATATAAGTTTATAAGTTCCTTTTACACACACACACACACACACACATACAAAAAGCCAAAGAATATAAAATATAAATATTTTTTTAGAAACTATAAGTTTTGTGCATTAGGAACGTGCATTTAATTTTGTAACAATAAAATAAAATAAAATAGAACATATACAAATAATATTAATAGATGCTAAAAACCTTATCCTTCCCTATAGGATTAAAAAAATATTTTTTTCTTAGATTTAAGATATCATTACATTATAATTATAATCGAATCTCTGATGCATTTTGAGATATAAGAATTTATTAAAAAAGTTTTATGCCTCTTGCACGGGCGATAATGCTAGTTCACAAATGAAAAGTCAAGTTTCAATCAATCTATAAACAATTAGCAATAGAATTGACTTTTATGTTGTAGCCACTACTGTTAAATATTACAACCCTATCAAAATTAAATCTTTTTCACGTTAATGTTACAGAACATAATCCTCTCATTTAAATAAAATGAAATAATCAAGTATTAAACTGACAAATAAAAAGTCAGCTACTGGCGAAGGAAATGACCTCACCTGAAACTGCGACAGCACAAGAAACGACCCAACTTCCTCGACGTTGAATCGTTTGGCGAACTCCCTCGCAGCAATCGCCAAACTCTTAATAATCGGCAAGAAACACCCCAGCCTCGCCGTAGTACTCGGCATCGCCGGCGCAATCATCGCCTCACTAATCGTCAACCCATAACTCAACCCTAGCGTACTCTTCCCAAGCCACTTCACAAAGTAAGTCGCCACTCTATCCCCTAACCCCGTCTTCACAAAACCCGCGCAAAGAAAAACGAGATCACAATCAACCAGATCACCTCATTTAGTAAAAGCCCCCAAACGCAGCGGCGAAAGTTAGGGTTTTGGTGAGGACCGCCGCGGTGAGGCCGAGAAACGCCCAGGCGCCGACGGGGAGAGGGCTGAGGACGAGGCCGGCGATCGTGGAGAGGAAAGATCGAGAGGAGGTTCCAAGCTTGGACGAGATTTCGATGGGTTTGGGGACGAGGAAGCGGACGCCGAGGCCAATGGCGAGCGAAAGTAAAGAGGGAGGGGCTTGGCGCCTTGATTTTGAGGAGGAGGGGAGGAGGCGGTGAGGTTACCACCTCCGAGGGTTCGGAGGAAGAGAGGCGGCTTGGATTGGAGTGAGGTGACGTGATCTGAGGTGAGGGCGGAGCGGAGGGTGGAGATTGAGGCGGGGAGCGGAGGAAGGGGAGGGACGGCGGAGATCGAGGGTGAGGGGGCGGTGAGAAGTAGGGAGCGGTGACGGGAAGCGGCGGAGCGAGGGCGGAGCTCTCCATGTCAGGGAGAGATTGGACGGAAATCGCGAGGGAAAATGGAGAGAGAACCTGGAGCAAAAGGGCCCGGTAAGCGGCGCCGGGATTATGCTAATTAGAGGCGACAGTATGCGGTCTGTCACCGGCCAGGTGAAGGAGACTGCAGTCTGTGGGGTCTGCACTGCGTCGTACCGGTAAGCCTATGACACGGGGCGTCGCCCGAGGACACGCAGAATGAACACGTGAAACAGCGGGTTCTGGCGGGCAGGGAGCGAGGAGGAAACGTGTCGATGCTGGCTCACCAGCTACGGATGGAGGCGCGCTCGCCTCGGGCAGCGTATGCATTCCTGGGTCAGCCTTGGGTCGGTGGCGCTGACGGGTGCTTAGAGCACATCGTCAGGAGGATTGCGATTGGGCCACGTAGGACGGAAGGGATTCCGTTGAATCCGTTGGCCAAAGGTGTTTTCTGTGGCCTGGGCTTTTCAGTACTGGATTGGGGTGCGTACGCTGTTGTCCTACACAAGATTAGATTTACGTGCGGACCAAATGGGCCGGGTTGGATCCAAAGCATTAGATGCCCTTAATAGGGCCCAGACGTTGAAAGTGCGGCCTCCAAGCCCACGAAAATTTAACTGGGGACGACAAGGACTCGCGAGTCTGCAACGTGCATATATCGAATATATTTGCACGGTAGGATTTACGTACGATTGTTAAACACTTATATCGTGGAGAGATATGGCTATGAACATGTATAATGTTTTTAATTTTTGGTGTTATATAGGTAAGAATACAGATATAAACAGAATATCCAGATACGTATCTGAATGCATGTACCAATCAGTCGATTAAAAATATTTTGAAGTTATTCTCGTAAATTTAAGATCAATTTCTGTGATCCGTAGATTCAGCTTTAGTTTTTATATGTGTCTTAACAAGTTGATTTATTTTGATCTGAAAATTCAGGTGATTTAAAAAAGGTTTTTATGCAACATGTTTTTCAGTCTTACCCATGATAGCACATCTATTTTGGAGTCCAATTATGTCAGAACTGTTGGGTATCTACTCAAACTCCAAGTTAGGATAGAGTTTTTAATTCTTTGTATAACTTCATGAGAATTAGATAATGTTAGGGATCTATCATGATTAGGAGTTTGGGTTCCATCATGATTGAGAGTTTGAATCATATTCTAATTAGGAAGTTAGGCTAGAGATAGAGTTTTGGTTTCTCTATATATATCCCTTTATATTGTTAGAGGAAAAAGAAGAATGAGAAGAAGAAGAAGAAGTGTAGAGAGAAAGAGTAAGAGAGGGTTTGGCGGTCTTTGTCCGTGCAAAAAATTATAATTTGAAGATGATAGTGGATTGATTTTGATCCCGTGGTTTTTCCATGTTGAGGGTTTTCCACGTTAAATCTTGTGTGATTTTATTTACTGCGTTTGGTGGTGTTTTGGGGGTTTTTGCGAGATCTAAAAATCCCTACAAGAACTCTCCCATAGAAAGGGATGTGATCAATGTCATGTAGGGGTAGTTTAAGGGCTAGTTTGGAGATTTTACTTCTTCTATACATGGAACAAACCACCCTATTTCTATGTGGATATCCTTATTATTTGTTTCACATAACCATATCCATATTTTTCTCATTTTTATTCGATTTTAGCATATATAAGATAGGTAAGGGTTTTACATACCAAATCATGTTGATCTTTATTTGCTACTTGCGTAGAAATCTAAATGGATCCAGGCTACGGTAACAAGTGAAATTTGTTTGAAATTAATTTAGGGTATCCATAGAGTATCAAAGTGAAATGTGATTGAACTTTGGGGGTATCAATTGTTAAAAGATAGTTTGGAATATCAAAGTGCAAAAGTGGATAAACTTTAGGGTATCAAAGTGAAAGTTAAGCCTTTTCTTGAGTGGTTAAGATTAATTTAATGCATATACAAAGGTTTTCAAGTCTTGGCTTTTGTTGTATCACCGAAATTGCTAAGTAGGTCGCTAAGTATAACCTACTCTTAAGAAGACGATACACGTCTCGATTAGCCAACTTAAGCATTATAACACCAACCTGACCTAGGTCTCGAGAATGCCGGATCCCCTCTTCAAAGCTCTTTGAGAATCTAGACGAAAGGAGTCCTCACCGGGCTTTCTCTCAAAAGCCTAAGATGAAATGTGTCATCACTCGGGCTCTCCCAGAGGACCAAAGACGAAAAGCATCCCCACTCATACTCTCTTGAAGGACCGAGACGAAAGGTGTCTCTACTCAGACCCGGTGACGCATCTTGAACCACGCGGAAACTTATCTGCTTCGTCTTTCCCAGCAACGTCAGCTAGTCACTGTCGCATTAAATGCATGGCCAGAGCTATCATTACTCCCTCGCCGAAGTCAAGTCATAATGACTTCTCAGGCCATGCCAGCACTGTAGTCATTATGTCGCCGTCGCATTAAACGTAAGGATGACTCAAACCACCCAATACCGACGTGTGTAAAGTATCACTGACTAAGCCGACTACATGGACCAGCGTGAAGTTACCTAAAAAACTCTTTTCAGCTCACTATAAATATGCAAATCGTCTTCTGCATGAAGATATCGTGTTCTCTATGACAGAGAACCCTAAAAACTACTTCTTTTATACATTTTTCTCCCTTAAGATCATCACTAACGTCTCATATTTATGCATGAATCTTTTTCTGCTCAAAGTGATTAGCCATCAAAAAGGATTGAGAGGCCCTAAGCTCTCCCGAATCCACCCTAACCCACAAAATTAAGTTTTTGACATAAATAACTTTTATCTTTATTAGTTCAATATGTTGTAATATTTTATTGAAATGGTAGGCTTGGCAGTGAATGATCATGAAGGCAGCTCCAAACGGGTGTTAGGCAGGGCCTAAGTTTAATCTGTTAAACAGGAGTGATGGCTTTTGTCGTTGCTTCTTCTTCTCCATTCAGAGTCTCCTGTTCACAGTAAGCTCTAATTCCTCTCTTGTTTATATTTTCACCATCTTTTTTCCTTATCACATGGGAATTGAAAAAAACAAGTCTCAACTCAAAAATTGTCCGTCATCAGTTTGTCTTGTCATTATTTCTGCAAGTAGTTTTAATTTGAGTCTCATAAAAAGAAAATGACATTCTAGTCCCCTCAGCAATCAGTATAGTATTTAATTACGCTCAAAAGAGAGGGGTATTCAAGTTCAAAGCGAAAGAATTAGAAGGTAAATAGCTGGCTATATATTGATTTGAAAGGTAAATCTGCAAATATGGCAGGTTTTGAGGATTATGCAGGCAAAAAAAATTAATGGGTGACGACAAATATATATACTACAAAATACTACTACATTGCAAATATTCCCTTAGATAGAACTCTATTCCATATCATTTATAATACACTTTTTATGTATCATAAAAACAACGCATATTTTCTCCATCTTTTAGTTTAATTCCATTAACTTATACCTGTACCATTTTCGTCTCGTGCATTATGCATGTGCATTTGAACTCAATGCATTCTCATCGCAGGGGGTATAACTCCACTGAGAAGGTACGGACTTCGCAACTTATTAACCCTTTTTCTGTGAGTACTATGCGTATCTTCTAATGTGACAACAATCAGCCTCAAGAGAGTAACATGTTTCGCTTGGCAAAGAGCTGGGGATTTTGAAAAAAATAGCAAAGCCCCGCGATGGTAACATCCTCTCCTGTCCCAATAATCCTGTTAATATAGATGAAAATACATCAGTTGAAAGCATGCTTCAAGCATATGAAGTTGCAGTGAGTACAAATGTAGCAGGGGTGGCAGCAACATATGATATTTCTAAAGCGTTGTCCTCAATCCCAGAAGCCGTTGAAGATTTTCGTCGGGGCAGGGTTAGTATACATAATTGTTGGATTCTTGATTGATTTCTGATATATTGTTTGTGCTTCAAGGCAGATGTTGGATGTATTTCAGCTCGTCATTGTCATAGACGATGAAGATAGGGAGGGAGAATGAGGAAGATCTTATAATAGCTGCATCAAATGTTGCACCAGAAGCTATGGCTTTTAAGGTTAAAACATACACACGGAATCATGTGTCTAAGCATGAAAGAAGAAGACGTGGAGAGGTTACATCCCCCTCTTATAGTAACTGAAAATGTATCTTAACTTGATTGTTAGCACCCTAGTTCAAAAGTTTTTTGTCACTCGTTTACCTTCTGACTTATTGTTTACTGGAGATTGGTGCTGTTTATATACTTTAAAAGAAATTGTGTTATTTAATCTTAGGGCAAATGTTCAACATCTTCTATTACCTGAACATACCTTGGACGCTCTCTTAATAGTTTAAACTTCAAACTGTGAGGAAGATTTCAGATCTAGGGTTTTGGAGTTTGGTAGAGGAAGATTTTGTGTGAAGCTTGGTTCTTGGAGTTCTAGGCTTCGGTGGAGATAGCATTAGGAGTTGCCGTTGGAGATTTCGCTTTCCTCGTGTGGATAGGAGATCTATTTAGAATCCGATCTAGGGTTCAGTTGGGTGGTTCCTAATTTCTATCAAATTTGTTCTTTCTCTACAATTTAGAGTTAGTTTGCAATGGGAGAAGAAGGTGAAAGCAGCAAGTCGATGGCGAGTACAATACAAGTTGGTTTTCAGAACACTAAGATTAGTGTGGTGAAGTACATGATGCGCTCAATGCTCAGAATCTGGAAGAGACTATCATGATCCACGAGACGCCACCTAAATATGATGAGGCAATATGAGAGAAGATGAATAGGAACGCGTGTAGGGTGATCAGGTCATGTTTGGAACAGGAACTGAAATATGATGTGATTGGAGTGACGTCTGCAATGAAGATGTGGGAAATTCTCAACAATAAGTATCTCACAAAGAGTGTTGAGAACAGGTTGCAGTTGCTGCTAAGACTCTTCAGATTTTAGATGTCCAGAGGCACCTCACTAGCGGCGCATGTGAACAACTATACTAAGTTGTTGTCGGACTTGGCAAATGTTGATGAGAAGATTTCAGATGAGTACAAGGCTATTATCTTATTGGGCTCCTTACCGGATGAGGAGTATAACACATTTGTGCTCATTTTGTTGAATGAGAGATCTTCTATCAACTATAGTGAAGTAACTAACGCTTTGACGAATTATGATTTGAGGAAGAACAATGAGACTTCTCGCGCTAGTACTTCAGAAGAGGCATTATCGACGAGAGGTAGAAGTTCATATCCGAAAGGTGGTAATAGAGGAAGGTCAAAGTCAAGAGGTCGTCACCAGTTAAGAAAGAACCAATGTGCATTCTGCAAGGAACAGAGATATTGAAAAAGAGATTGTCCAAAGATCAAAGAGAAGAAAAATAGCAAGAAAAAAGGCCCAAAGGCCAATGAGGTGAACGTTGCGAAAAACAATAATTCCGATGATTCAAGCTTTTCTCTATTGATTACTTCGGAGGTGAACCACTTGGATGCATCAAATTGGATGCTTGATTCCGACGCTACTTATCATGTGACCCCTAGGCGAGATTGGTTTGCATCGTTCGAGAGACTCGATGGGGGTGTTATTATCATGGAAAATGATCAATCCTGTAGCATTTGTGGGATAGGTACCGTGCGGATTCGGATGCACGATGGAGTAGTCCGCGAATTGAAGGATGTGAGATTCGTTTCTCAGCTGAAGAAGAATCTTATTTCTGTTGGAGCTTTGGAGGCGAAGGGATTCAAGGTGACCTTTGAAAATACTGTAGCGAAGGTTACTAATGGATCTTTAGTGGTGATGAAGGGAGTCCGCAGTCGGAACTTGTAACATCTGAAGGGAAGCACCGAGGTTGGCCAGGTTGCTTCGGCCATTTCAGAGGCGAACATGAGTAGGATTTGATATTATAGGTTAGGGCACACAGACGAGAAGTCACTGCAGGCGCTGTGCAAGCAGGGGCTATTGAAGGGAGCCAATAGTGATAAAGTGGAATTCTGTGAGCACTGTGTTCTTGACAAGAAGACGAAGGTGAAGTTCGGGACGACCATTTATAGGACGAGGGGCATCCTGGACTGCGTGCACACAGATGTTTGGGGTCCCATCAAGACTGCATCACTTGGTGGTCGACATTGGTTCGTCATGTTCGTTGATGACTATTCTAGGCGATGTTGGGTGTACACCATGACAAAAAAGAGTGAAGTCCTAGATATATTCGTGGAGTGGAAGAAGAGATTGGAACTGCAGACTGGGAGAAAGATCCAGATTCTATGAAGGCAGATGAGTGGAACCTTCTAGATAGACAAGCCCTCAGAGTTATCAGATTGACGTTAACTCGCAATGTTGCGTTCAACATAGCGAAGGAGAAGACCATGGCGGGTCTTATGGCAGCACTCTCAAACATGTATGAGAAGCCATCAGCCGCGAACAAAGTTCATTTGATGATTGAGTTCTGTGAGCACTGTGTTCTTGGCAAGAAGACGAAGGTGAAGTTCGGGACTGCCATTCATCAGACGAGGGGCATCCTGGACTACGTGCACACAGATGTTTGGGGTCCCATCAAGACTGCATCACTTGGTGGTCGACATTGGTTCGTCATGTTCGTTGATGACTATTCTAGGCGATGTTGGGTGTACACCATGACAAAAAAGAGTGAAGTCCTAGATATATTCGTGGAGTGGAAGAAGAGATTGGAACTGCAGACTGGGAGAAAGATCAAGACGTTACGATTCGACAACGGCGACGAGTATACTTCAGACCCCTTTCAGCAGCTATGTCGAGACGAGGGCATAGAGAGATACTTTACGGTTAGTCATACACCGCAGCAGAATGGGGTGGCAGAGAGGCTAAATCGGTCTTTACTGGAGAAGGTCTGATGCTTATTGTCACAAAGTGGTTTGGAGAAGATCTTTTGGGCTGAGGCACTTACATATGCGAGCCACCTCATTAATAGGCTGCCTTTATCTGTGATTGAAGGGAAAACCCCTATAGAGAAGTGGTCGGGATAGCCAGCACACGACTATGACCAGCTCAAGGTATTCGGGTGCCCTGTATTTTATCATGTGAGAACAGGTAAATTGGAACCTCGAGCTAGGAAGGTTATATTTGTAGGATTCAAGCGTGGTGTTAAGTGATACAAGCTTTGGGATCCAGTTGATAAGAAGATTATGCTGAGTAGGGACGTCACGTTTAATGAGGCTTCTATCTTGAAGTTTTCTAGCTCTCATCAAGTGGAGAGCGACCCGACTGAGGAGATATCGCAGATGGTGGAGATCGATGCAGCTCCACATTGTCCAGATGATACAGTATCCATTAGAGTGCCGACTGAGGTGACGCCAGGCAAGCACGACGATGACACGGGGGATACGAGTACTGATGTGCAGGATCAGTGACCGACGGCTCAGGTTCAGGATTCGATTGCGGTTCGGAGACAGAAGAGAAACATACAAATGCCAGCACGGTATGCCGACACAGTTGCGTATGCACTTCCGGTGGAGAGTATCGATGAGTTGGTGCCTACTATATTCAGAGAGACCGATCAAAGTTCGAAGGCTGATTCGTGGCAGGTGGCTATGCAGGAGGAGATAGAATCTCTTCATAAGAACGATACATGGGAGCTTGTTGAGCTTCCAAAGGGGCGAAAGGCAATTGGTTGTAAGTGGGTATACACGAAGAAGGAGTGCATTGAGGGCACTCCATTGAGGTTCAAAGCTAAGTTGGTTGCGAATGGCTATACACAGGAGGAATGTATTGACTATAAATGAGATTTTCTCTCCGGTGGTGAAGCATTCTTCGATTCGGATTTTGCTAGCTTTGGTGGCACAGTATGGTTTGGAGTTAGATCAGTTGGATGTGAAGACATTTTTTCATGGTGATCTTGATGAAAAATATATATGACTCAGCCATTGAGATTCCGAGTTGCAGGGAAAGATAAGTTAGTTTGCAGGTTGAAGAAATCGCTATACGGTTTGAAGCAGTCTCCTCGACAGTGGTATAGACGATATGATGGTTTTATGATTGGTCATTCGTACACTCAGAGCCAGTTTGATCCTTGCGTATATTTTCGCAAGTTGAAAGGATGTACGTACATCTATTTGTTACTTTATGTCGATGACATGTTGGTTGCCTCTATTTCCAGGTCGACGATAGATGAGTTGAAAGTTCAGTTTTCAAATGAGTTTGAGATGAAGGACTTGGGCGAGGCGAAGCGCATTCTAGGGATGGAAATCGTCAGAGATAAGAAGAAGGGGAGAATTTGTTTGACACAGGTAGCTTATTTGAAGAAGGTACTATAGCGATTCCATATTAGCATGGATACGAAGCCAGTTGGTGTACATTTGGGAGCCCATTTGAAGCTTTTAGCTGGTCTTTCACCAAAGTCAGTTAAAGATCGAGAGTTGATGCCGAAGACTCCATATGCGAGCGCGGTTGGGAGCTTGATGTATGCGATGGTATGTACGAGGCCGGATTTATCACAGACGGTGAGTATGGTTTCAAGATACATGCACGATCCAGGAGTGGGTCATTGGGACGCCGTGAGATGAATTTTGAGGTACATTCGACGTACGCTCAATGTTGGTTTAGTTTATGAGCGGGACACTACATGTGGGCAGTTATGCATTGGCTATGTTGATTCAGATTATGCCGTGGATTTGGATAAGCACCGGTCTACTACGGGGTATGTGTTTACTTTGACCCGTACGCCGGTGTGTTGGAGATGCACCTTACAGTCGACGGTGGCTTTGTCTATGACGGATACAGAGTATA